ATTTATAGACCTACAATTTCTAGAAAAATGTGATGAAATGAAAAAAGTCTACATGGTATTAACAAGCGATGGTGAGGGAATTTATGATGAATTTCTTATCTTTTGGAGAATTTTTGGAAGAACAGTAAAAAAGAAATTTGGATTTTCTTCTTTTGATCCCAGAAGTGTTTCTTTTAACATATTTATCTCCCTTTATTTTATCATCTTTCCACTAGATACAAGCATTGAAGCACTCAGAGAAAGCAAAGAAGTTGAAAACCAATGATTTATTAAAAGATTCATCGTATATGTCTCATTTCACCATACATACCTCAGTACCTGACCTAAATTCTAAAACGTTTTCTTTAAATTTTGTTGCTCAGTGCTTCATTAAATTCTAAAACTTCTGTTACACTGGCTCTGGTGCCGGCCTTGACCTGATATCATTTAATCTTTATTCTCAATACTCATATTATTAAAGAAATAAAATTAACAGTTTCTTCTATCATTACAAGTTACAATTTAAGTACAAGCAGTTCTTTAGAATAACAGAAAGGTATAGTTAAATCTGAAAATTCTAAAATGAAGAGGAAATTCATTCAAAAAGAAACAGATTTTTAATAAGAGAGAAGATTATTCTTTAAACATACATTGACGAAACATTAACAAATTAGGAGATGAAGCAGAAACTTGTGGGGACATTGATATGTTTATTAAAATAAGATGCATAAACCTTTTGTTATAATTGTTGCTACAAAATAAAATATTTTGTACTTTTAATCTATTAGGTACACTAATATCATTTTTGAATCAATATCATAAAGTACAACTGCTTTAAAGTGTTCTGAACGCTTTTTAAATGGATATTTTTTAGAAATTAAAAAAAAAAATACCATGTAAATCTATTATGACAAAGGGTATCTAATTATATAATTTAAATGATTGTAACTAAGTTATTTCTACATATTAAGGTGAGTTATCTCCTTTCCGTAATCCTTATTGTGCATGCAAAATACAACACTAAAATGTAAAACTTAACAGAAAATTTAATCCTTACAGCTAATGAGACTTAAAATAATACACAACAACCTATCATCTCTGGTGCTTCGACTTATTGGGACTTTATATTAAATGTTATGTATTAACTGACTTAACAACTCCAGCAAATGTACAAGAGACTACGACACTATCTGGGTCAGATAATGTGCAGATAACTTTCAACACTTAGATAACCATACTAAAAGCAGATGTTAGCGTCTGCTCTGATAAGCAGTTGTCTGTCTGTAAGCAAGTAGCTGCAGTGGCAACAGCCAGTCTTCTGTTTTGAGTCATGCTGATTATTATGTTACTTCACAATTTAAACTTGTAATTTCACTTGACATAAAATTTACATACACCTCTGGACTGTGCGAGTACATGATTAAATAAGGCATAAAAGAAGGAATGAATATAAAACTAACTGTTCGTAAAATGTAAATAAAAAAAACCCACTAATCTTCTTTAAAATATGTGGGACTATTATAAATATAAAATAAAAATATTTCAAGGAATTTTATAATTTAATGCTAATTACTTAAAAGAATTTATGAAGTTAAATTTTACATTTGAATTTGTGTTATAATTAAGTCAAATATTAGATTATGTTTAATAACGCATCCTATGTACAGATTTATTTTATTCTTACAATTACAAAAGTGAAGTACTGATGTAGGTCATTGTTTTAGACAGGTCCTTAATTTTTTTTATTGATAATCCTTAAAAGTCCTTAATTTCCACGTGCAGAAGTGTGTACGAACACTGAGAGAGAATTGTTTACAAATTATTGAATATTCAGAAAGTCTTGTTGAATACCACTTGAGTTTATTGCAGCTCAGTGCTTCTCATTTATAGAACTTTTATCAGCTCAAAACTTGCAGCTCGGTGTTTCTCCATTTATAGAGCTCTTATTTTCTCAAAACTTGACTATACATGAATTATTTACAGGTAGGCAAGGCCTTCTTTATTACCAAAATTTGATTTTTTTGTGACCAGGGTATTCAGCTGCATCTGAGCTCTTAGAACACCTTCTGTGAAAAGCCTATACATTAAATTTTATTGGACTTTCCCATAGTTAAGATATGAACATCTTTGTCTCAAGCATTTATGTCACAAATCAAGAATCCTGTTTATCTATATATACTCGGTGATTTGTCTGTCATTTGTATCAGGCATATCCATAGTTGTTCCATCCTTTGGTCTAAGAGTAGGAAGATTGTTAGAGCAGTACACTATGTCTAATATCAATACACAACTGGAGAAACTCTTGAAATTCCTTCATGGGAGTACTTAAAAATTCATCTTTTTGATTCATTCCAATGTTGGGTACAGACTGATCTTTAAAGCATAGACATCAATATATAAATTATATAGCTCTGTATATAGATGGATTAAAATCTTGGGATCATGATGGTGCATGCCCACCAGCAGATGAATGCTGTTAGTTCCAACCTAGGTTCGATTCCAAATGGAACAGGCTGGCTGCTTGGGCATTTTTGTGGTTTTCCCCATGTATATAAGCCAGTTTCCTTTAGAAAGTCCTCCATGTAGGCATCTCTTCTCTTAGACAGATAACGCTAGTGTGTTTTGCCATAATCTCCTAAACTAAACCAAATGATGTTGGTGCAACTTTGTCATGAAAAAAACATTGTCAGTTTTTGATAGCACCTGCTTTGCTCAGTTTTTTCTTCTGAATGTACTGCTGTCTATCAGGCTTTAATTTTCCTCTCCAATCAACAGAACATCATTAGCCATTATTTACACAGATTCTCTGAATGCATTAAAGTAGTTGGAAGATTTTACTTATTTATTGTACGCTTCACATAATTACTGGAGTTCTGAACCTCAGTTAGAATCTAAAATGTTGGCTATAAGGGATTCTTTACTACTGGATCCCTGGGCATGCTTTCATAAAAGGGAGTGGACTAACTGATATTGCATCTGTCTACCACTACAATGTTCAATCCTCTGCTCCCAGTTGTAGATATCAGGGCTTTTAATTAAGCAGAAAATTCTCAATAAAGGGCAGATGTATTGGAATGATCAAGTAAGCAATAAGCTAAAAACCCACAATAGAGTGCTGGTTTTTTGTACTAAATAGATGGGCTCTTAACTTGTTTGAGAATTTGTCACTGTTGACTGACTGACAAGCATCTTCTGAAAGGCAAGAGAGATCTACTTTTATGTAAATGGAATGGCATACTGACAATTCACCATATTTTACTTGAATTTATATTTTATGAATTATATTTACACCATGTTTTACTTATTGAATGGTAAAGTTTTTAAATATTTTTATCTAAAACATTGTAATTGTTTTAATCTGGATTTAAAAAAACTTAATAGGAAGACCAATGTATTAATAATTGCTTCAGTTTTGTAAAGAAATTGGCTTTTGGCATGAATTATAACCTGTTATATAGTCATTTTTGTCTCAGCTAAAATGTATTGTAACTGTATACTTGCAATATTTTAATATCCATCTTTCCTTAGTTTTTTTTTTTTTTTTTTTTTTTTTTTTTTTTTTTTAAATCTTTCATGGTTTTACACTACCATTGGTGTTTCTTATTTTCCACACTTTTGTCACTATTTCAGCCTTTATTTTCTTGATCTGTGGTTAACTGCAATGGAATTGCCTCATTTTCACCTAGTGTCTATTTTATGAGTTGCTGTATAGATTATTTTACCATTATTTATCTAACTTCACTGGATTCCTGACATTTGCCATTATTAATTGCTTTTCTTCAGCCATTGATTTTGGTAAAGATAACGTCTCTAGTTTTTGTGCCAGAAATTTTAATCTAACCAACCATGTTTCATTATTTTAATAAAAATTTATTTGCCATATAGACCAAATGTTTTAGTAAAGATTTTATTGAAACTAGTTTGATACCTTTATTTATTTCAGCAATTTTAAAAATTGTTTCAGCCGTGTACTCAATGTTATAATTTACAATTTAACTGTTGTCGTATACTTAGAAGTATTTTTTAAGAAGTTTCAAGAAAAGTTATGTATATGAATTTTAAAAAAAAGTTGGTTGGTTTAGTTCGATTTATATGATTACGGCATATGCCTAAGAGAAGAGATGCTTTCATGGAGGACTTTATAAAGCAACGAGTCCATTCACGAGATTTGAACCTTCGAACAACCTACCAGTGTTCAGTGACTTTAGCATTCAGCTGCTGGTGGGCCCAGAAAAAGTTGTGCATAAATGTAGCAGATTACTATAAATCAGAATTGTCAGAAAGAATTTTACAGATGAAACTAAGAAGGGCAAGATAAACTGTGTCTTTAGAATCTTAGCTCTTTGATGCATGTAATTGTATTGTATTCAAGTATGTTTCATGCATGAAGTGGTTTAGTATGAAAGAAGGAAATACTACAGCGACATTTTGGGAATGCAAACTCTACAATATTATGACAATGTCATATTTGTGTTATCAGAAGTGTGATTAAAATTTTAGAAATCAGTTATTTAGTGTGATTAAAATTTTAGAAAATCATGAATTTTAGAAAATCAATTTTAGAAATTTCAAAATATCAAGATCAGTATGCTTATTGATTAATTTTGTATTTGCAAACAAACCAAATAATGATGGTAACTCAATGTATATGCCTTTTCAAGCTTCATGTTGTATACCTATATATGCTGTTAATTTCAATTCTATACATATGTATTATTTATTCTGTTATATTATATACATATGTACTGTTCATTTATTTATATTCTGTATACATACTCTTAATATATTTTTTTCTTGAAATGTAAATAAACTTGCTTACACTGGCCTGTATACTTATTGAAAAATGTTCCTTGTGATTTCTCATTTTCTCAATAATAATATTTTTCATTTATTAATTTATTCTGTTATCCACTGCTTTAATATTTCTGTTAATTTACATCAGTTTTTCATAATGATTTTACTACTTATTTAAGAGAAGTAAAAGTTAATGATTGTAATGAATAACATTTGAACATTTTTAGTGTCATAAGTATCATACTCGTGTTGTGAAACTGGTTCCCCAAGTTGAAAATCTCCTCAAAGAAGGGGCTCTCTCTGAAGAAATTGTTCTTGATAATGTGCCAAAGCTTTTAAATATAGCTAGAGAATGTAATGTTACTCTGAGATGGTTGTTACTTCACACAGTGATGTTGTCTCCAGGTTAGTTCATTTAAAAGAACAAATTTCGTAAAAAGACTTGAATATTTCAAATCAAAAGTCATTCTAGGTACGTTCCTTTATTAATCTTTCTAAACATATTTTAAAAAATAACTTTTTTATTTTTACTCTTTATTAGAGTATATGAATGATATTTTTGTAAATTTGTATCATGGATATGTTTAATTTGTATTATGGATAAGTTCCCTGAGGTCATAAATCTCGCAAATACTGAAACTTGAATACGCGATTTTTAACAATAATTATAAAAATGAGAATTTGTGGTGATTTCTTCTCAGGCCTGATTATATGAAAATGCTGTGTTTAAAATGTATTTTCAATGATAATATTTATTGTCTAAAATTTATTTTTTACAAGTTTCTTTACATATGATTTCAAAGTTTGGTTTTCTTCCTTTGCATTATTTGCATATATATATATATATAAGTGTGGATTTATATGTATTCTTTTTAGTTGCTGAATCAAATAAAAGATGTAGGCAGTTGAGAGAACAAGTAGTCACTGACAGCCATTATAAACCACTTCTAGTATTTGAGCTATTACTGTATACTGCTCAATTTGAACTAAAACTTAAAGAGGTATGCTGAGTATGATTTAATGTAAATGTTTCCGTTTTATTTCTGTGATGAACCATGTGTTATGTATTTGGAGGTATTTTTGATTATTACTTTCCATATGTTATATAATATTCAAATATATTGTGTTTTTTTAAATTCTTTGAAGTCAAATGTATTAGTAATTTTTGTAATGGATATTTTTTACACTTTCTCCACTTTTCAAAAATACTGTAATGTGGGAAAGCTTTTCACTAGCCATGATGGAATAAAACATAGCAGTAGTTTCCAGTAATTTATATACAGTACAAAGTCTTTAATCGGGCGATTCCGGTTTAGGGGTTTCCTGGATTATTGATCATCAATTTAAATCTACTAAAATGGCATGCAGAAATTATAAAATTTAAAATATGAAACTGTAATTTATGAAATAAACAATTATGATCTTAAAGGGTATAAAAAAATCATATTTATTTGTTGTTTACTTTATTAAACATTTCTTTCGATTTAAGTTGTTTAAGATGCTAAGTTTTATGTGCTAATACTTTCTCTTTAATTCTATAAACAAACATAATTTCTTGTTCAGTTACAAAGTTCCGCTGTCCAAGTCCTGTAATTGCTGTGCTGAGAATACCGACTAACTTGTCAATGGAATTTTTTTCGTTTTCACTAACCTCTCTGTCATTTTCTTCATGTCTTTATCCATTTTTTGCAGCAATTCCACTTTTTGTTTGATGGACATCGAAACATGCTTTCGCTTTGTAGATCCTTTGGTAGCTCCAGAATCAGAAAATCTTTTTAACATAATCAAAAGTTCAAGCTTACTTTTTATAAAATTGCTTTAACAGTTTGTAAAAAATAATAAGTCGGATCCAATTAGAAGATTAAGGAACAACGCAATCTGCAACATTGACCGAAATAGATAATTAGATAATTTAAGCCTAGCTTATACCATCCGTTATACATTAACCGCACATGCATATAGGTATTATGCGCATGTGCAGAAAGTTTGTAGCTTTGAGGTCCAGATTATAAATCATTTCGGATTATGGATGTCCGGATTAAAGACTTTGTACTGTATTGGTAAAAGTCTTGAGCATCCCCAGGTCTTTAGAAAAAATCTATCAAATCGTACTAAAATTACAATTTAAACCTCAAATAATATTAAAAGCGTGAATGATATGAAGTGTACAAATTTCATATAAATTAAAACAGTATGTGTATTGTATAATTTAATATTCCAAAACTGGAAAGATCGTGAACAATTCGAAATTTTAGTCATTAATGATGGTGCATTGATTCGAGCCTTCAGATATTTATTACTTAGAAGTACAGGGTCTACAGCAGTGTTTTCCGGCTTTTTTTCCCTTCAGTTTTAATGTAAGCTTGAAAAAAAAAATCTTCATTTTCTATTAGAGTGCAATGCAAATTAATCATAGTACAAAGTTAAATGATTAAAACTGTTTACGTCTAAAAAGATTTTAAATAAGCTTAATTAATTTACTCTTATCTATTTACCATTGCTTTCATAGTATCCCACATCTCTCTTCATTTCTTTATTTTATTTTTTCCCTAAATTCCTACGTTAACTTTCCCCTTAAAAAACAGGATTTTCCTTCACATAACACAGCAGCATGTTTTGCTGCGTTTGGGTCATAATATTGTTTTGTGCCATTTTTTTTTTAACTACAAATGCAGCGTGTGAGTTAGTGAAATAATGTGAGAATACTCCTAGAACTTCAACCAGTGCGCGCTATAAATTCCGTCACTCATCTGTACTGCGATTGGTCTAAAGCTGCATGTGCCTTTTCAGTAAAGTCAAATGGACCCACTCGCACACCAATTGAGGACCACAGAATGGCCTTCTCCATTAAGTCGAAGACGGCTGTTCATATCGGATTTTTTGAGTCAATATTGTTCGCTCAAATAATAGATGGATCTAGTGATTGTAGAATAGGTGTTCTGGTCCTGTGCTCTCAGACTTTCACTTGTTTTGCTGTGTTCGAAATTTGTTTCATGGTATAACACTCAGTTCACATGAGGCCTTAATTCAGCACCTTTTTCAGCTTTTCGCTTGTTTTGTGAATGTGGAAGTACGAAGCTCATTAAAAGAAAGCAAAAAGGGCAGTAAACTATTGACTGATCATTGTTCTTAATATAAATTAAGGGCCTTTGAAGAACATAGAAAAAAATGCATCCTAACTTTTCTGATAATCTAGTAGATCATATTTTAGGGTAAGGAAGTCTTCTTCTTCTTTTTTTTTTTTTTTTTTTTTTTGTGTGTGTGTGTGTGTGTGTGTTAAATAAATTTTAGTTTTGGTAACTTCATTTTAATTTGCATTTATTATTTTATTTTATTATATATATATATATATATATATACGCATAAATTATTATTTTTTAGTAGTGGATACAAATTAAAAAAGTTTTAATTTGTACATAAAATACTTTATGCAGATTTTTGTATGCATTTTAATCTTTTATTGTTCCTTAAAATATGATAGTTTTTGTTTAAATATGTTGGAAATTTTTTATACTTGCATTTAAAAATACTAGAATTTTAATGATACTGTATATAATGTTCCAAAAATTCTAAGAATTTAGGCATAATTTTTTTTTTTATTTTATTATTATTTTCGCAGTTTTCATTAATATTGCAGTGCAGTTTTTCAACATAATCCTCCTTTAATTGAATATATTACTAATCCTCCTTTAATTGAATATATTAATCCCCTTAATTGAAAATTAATAAAAGAAAAATTAATTTTTTAAAAATTGTCCTCGAAGAACTTTTTTGCTGTCTCCTCTGTCTGCTTCTGCCATGGTTAAATTCTCAAATCGAACAACTGGTTTTTTTTTTTTTTTTTTTTTTTTTTTTTTTTTTTTTTTTTTTTATGTGGGTTTTTTTTATCCTTCTCACAAAATCAATTTCCAAAATTTTCCCACCCTCTTCCCACAAAAAGCAAATGCATCTTCCATGGCTGCAAAATAGTGTGGCGAACCTGCACCTGTACCTGTCATACAACTGAATTGGACTAAACAGTATTATCCAGAATAGTTGCATAAACATGACAAGACTTGTCTCTGGCTGATAGTATTGCCTATAAAATTCTAGAAACTGAACTAAAGCTCAATTCCCGGAACACTGGAAAAATGCCATACATTTTACATAATTTGGAATTCTTATTTGAAGTTGAGCAATCCATCGCAATAAATCTATACCAATTTATATGTACTTTATAGTTTTAGCTTATTATGAATTTCAGAATTAATGTATGATTCTTGTTCACCTGTACCAAAACAGCAATAGCTTTTTATTGTTGTTGATCTTGGATGTTATGTAGCAAACACCCTTGCTTTAAACTTAATATTTTAGATATACGGTCAAAAGTCGTTAATCCGGATTCATCGGGACTTCGGCGATTCCGGATTATAGATCATCAGTTTAAATCTGATAAGATGGGATGCAGAAATTATAAAATAAAAAATATGAAACTGTAATTTATTAAATAAAGAACAATTATGATCTAAAGGGTATCAAAATTTACAAAAAAAAAAAAAAAAAAAAAAGCTTAATATTTATTTGTTTACTTTATTAACCCCTTCGCGCCGGGTAGTGCAAACGTGCGCTTATCACGGAGGCCGGCAGTGTCTTATGCGAGCGTCTGTCCAGGGCCGGAGGCTTTTTTGCTATTAAGCCTAAATCCATGAAATTTCCGAAGTATCAGCGCATTGTTTAATAATGCTCTATAGAGTATTTAAACGGCTTATGCTTTATAGATATTTTTATATATACTTAATACCTTATTTCTTGTTTAAATGCATATTTTACACATTTTATTTTCCTTACTCCCATTTTATGACTTTTAACATTATACTCTGAAAACTAATATATTACTTAAAATTCTCTTTTCGTATGAAAAATTTGAAAACAGGGATCTACACACAGTCCTACGTTACATTCCTTGCACTCGTATAACTCATTGCCGTTTTGGAGGTTTTTTCCAGAAATGTGAACAAACGAAGCATCGTCGTCTCATTTTCTTATCAGTCTCTTCTGAACAAAGTTTTGGAAAATGTCTTTCAGTTAATCTGAGCGGATTTAATTATTCTGCTAATCTTGGTGTGATTGCAACGGTAAAAACAGAAAGAATTCACGTCTAACAAATTTTCTATTAAAAAATATTTATTCGGTCTGTTTCTATTAAAAACAGAGAGAATTCACATCTAACAAGATCTAATTTAAACCGAAATACCCAACGCTTTAGCGAAAATAAAACTTCTCTACTTACAATAAACAACTACCACGTGCGAATTTAAAAGAGACGTCATAAATCACGCCATTTGGAAACATTTATTTCCCCTTTTGTTTATATAATCAAAACCACATGTATGTGAGTCATGCTTCTCTCATTTCAAGTAGAAGGTCTAATGTACATGTATCTGAAACCATATGGACATACAGTGCCATCTTGTGGCAGAAATTATTTTTAAAGTGTTCCAGGACACTGGCACAAATACGTGACAGTTGGGGCTAAATGGGAAAACCCTCTGGCACGCCTGCGTGTCGGCCGGGAAGTGAGTGTGTTCGTTGCTGGTACGTAGACGTAACAGTCGGCGCGAAGGGGTTAAACATTTCCTTCAATGTAGGTTGTTTAAGTTGCTTTGTTTTATGTGATAATATTTTCTGTTTAATTCTATAAACAGACATAATTTCTTCTTCAGTTACAAAGTTCCGCTGTTCAAGTCCTATAATTGCTGTGTCGAGAATACCGACTAACTTATCAATCGAAATTTTTCCGTTTTCAATAACGTTCTCTGTGTCACTTTTCTTCACTATCGGAAGCGAATTATTATGATGAGGAATTTGATTTAAATCATATCAAAGACGGAGTACATCGAGATGAAATACTACATTTAATAAGGAATTATAAGCCAAATAAAATAAAAACATCTGCCCTAAAGGTAAGGATAGTGCTGACAGATCAACTTCCAATTCATTGCGCCCTGCAGCGTCTCCCCCCACCACCACCACAGAGCAGCGTGAAATTGATAAACAGATTTCGGAATGGTTAGAGAAACAAAGGATATGCCTTTATCCAAAGCGACGCATGTGCAGAAAGTTTGTAGTTTTCAGGTCCGGATTATAGATCATTCCGGATTATGGGTATCCAAATTAACGACTTTTGACTGTGTTTATTAAATGGGAAATGAATTTTTTATTCATATTGTGAAGGATTTTTTTAGATATTTTAAAGGTTGTAATCATTTATTTTGATAAGTAGTTACATAAGAAATGTTAAAGGGGTTTCAGTCAGTGTGGATTTTTTAAAAGTTACTTATGCTTTCAAACTGTTAGTATATATTTTTACTTTATCATTGCAGCTTTTTAAACAGTTGCTATCTGAGAAGCATGAAAAATGGACAAAATACAAATCTGAGAGTACAGAAAGAATGTCTGAATTAGGAGATGTTTTCTCTGGTACAAAGCCATTAACAAGAATAGAAAAAAATGGTAATTTTATAAATTCATTCATTATCCTTTAATCCATAACCTAAATCCATTTGTACCTTTTATGTCTAAAGATTTAATCTGATTTGTCTGGTAAAGTTTACTAAGATAGCAAAGTTTATAATGGAGACTGTCGTTTAATTTTTGGTAGTGTTGAGAGTAATACAGGGTAGAAAACATGGTTGCCTACCAAAGGAGCATACTTGATGTAAGTGAAACATAAGTTTTAATGGTACTTTCTTTGAGTTAACAAAATAGATGAACAGGCATGTCAGCTTATAAAATGTCAGAGAAAAAAAAGAAAAAAAAAAGTGACATGAATAACAGGTGATTCATTTGACTGGTATAAAGTGCTGCATTATGTTAGTAGAGGCTACTTGGCCGTTCACTTAGACAGGTACTTGTCTGCAGTTCCATGCAATATTTCATATAAATGTTGTCCAGGCGCTATGATATGTGTGAAAAATACATAACATGAATAACGGGTGACTAATTTAGGCGATATAAACTGTTGCATTATGTCAGTAGAGTCTACTTGGGAAATAATTTAGGTTTGCTGCTACTTGGCTACAATTACATATGATACTTACCTTTGATTTACAATATGTAGGCCATTTTTTTCTTTGCTTGCATATTTGCATGTTTATAACTGTCTTTAATCCTCATATGGTTATTTCTAAAGTAAGTGGTAAATTTTAAATGTGCCATTAATTTAACTGAAAGTTTATTTACAGGTTGGGAACACATGATTCATCAGAAAGTATTGTGTCTTGTAATGTTGAATTGATATTTGCATAAGTTTCAGTTTTCTTTTTCACTTTAATTTCTAGAAATTCATAATTTCCTAACTGAACTTTCTGTTTCAGTAACTAATGTAAATTATCTTCTGTTATTCCACTTCCGTGCAGTTACTCCTGGATCAAAGTAGCGGCCGAGCAGTAAAGTCTCTGAACACTGGTAGTTCGAGGTTCGAATCCCGCAAACGGGCTGGCTGCATGGGTGTTTTCATGGTTTTCCCCATGTGTAGCGTGTATACGAACCAGTTTCCCTTAGAAAGTCCTCCACAAAGGCATCCCTCCCCTTGGGCAGATAGCCCTAGTGTGCTTTGCCATAATTAAATAAACCAAACCAAACCTGAATCAAAGTATCAATTATGTTTTCTTAGTTCTTGTGTTATACTCATATGCTAGAGAATAGTTTTGTTTAAAGGATTCTTGCTTTTATTTTTTTGTGCATTCTCATGTTTTGTGTCCTTTTCGCTTGTTGTTATAACACTTAGTCTTTCGCATTCGTAGACTTCTTTTTCGCATTGCTATGGTATTTAGTAACTTTCACTTTGCTTGGGTGTTTAGTAACTAAGGAATCCTGCATTTGGCTGTTTCCTGCACTTTAAATTGCCAATTTTCAGATTCTTCTAGTAACTTAACTCTTAATATTTTTCTGTCAGTCTGTCTGTCACAATATTCTATCACTAATCTGAAATTTTCAGATGCTTCGTTTAAGCTACATAGTAATAAAATAGTAAGGAATTCTTCTGGAATTTCAAATTCTGTTTCCTCAAGTGTATCTGGAATTTCAACGAAATTAAGTAATCTGCATTTTTTGTTCACATTCATCTTTTTCAAATTAAGTTGCTTCATAAGGCTTACTTTAGTAATAGGACCTTTAGGCTGATGCATTTCCTGAATCCACACTTCATATGAAGTTTGACATTTTTTAATATGCATGACCTCAGATAATTTGACACTCAGAACAATAATTGCTAAAGCTTGTTTATCTTTTACTACCCATTTGTGAAGTTCAACTTGGTTAGCTTTGGGACTTTCTAGCTTGACTAACTGAACACTCGTGACTTTCCAGAGTTCTGACTGGATTAAAACCATTTTCACTTAAAAATGCAATATTTCAAAGTTAGTGTTATCTAGATTTTCAATAAAGCCAAGGAAGAAGGATTAATTTTGTTTACCTCGATTTTCACCAAAAAATACAGATGCTTGACCTGCTGCTTAGACGTACATCTCCAATGGACTTCTTAGGTAACTGTGAAACTGAGCTTCATAGCTTGCTGTTTGGTTTTTGGCGCTTTGAGAGTAATACACAGTAGAAAATGTTGCCTACCAAAGGAGCATACTTGATATGAGTAAAATATGAGTTTTAATGGTACCTATTTTGAACTTAACAAACTAGATGAACAGGGCATGTCAGTCTCTGATATATGAAGGAAAAAAATAACATGAATAACAGGTGATTAACTTGACTGGTATGAACTGTTGTGTTATGTCACTAGAGTCTACATGGCCATTCATTTAGGTTAGCGGGTACTTGGCTGCAATTCCATGTGATACTGTATATAAATGCTGTCTTTAACACTCTGCTAGATTCCTCTTCCTAATCTAGTCTTCGACAACTGTATTCCATGCCAGCCACACCACGCTACAGAGAATTATGGCTAATAACTAAGACGACACCCCCCATCCGATAGGCACATCTGCAGGATGCTGAATCTTAACATATTTCTTGCCATCTATCTTGGTATTATAGCAATAGAATAAGCTATAATATTAGCTGAATAGTTCACTTCTTCATTCTTCAGCACTATGCACAAACAAGGGAGAATGCAAATTTCCCAACACATACCAAAGCATAAAAATGCACCAGGTAAAGTTGGATGTTTTCCACTGATAGTAGTAACTAAAACAGTACCAAATGTTAAATTAAATAATAATTCTGCATGAGGCAGTAGTATAAAATGCAAATATCTAGTCTATTATGTTAAAGTGCAAATAGTGTGAAAATAGCAACAAAATTAACTGAGCAAACTACGAGATTATTATCAGTCTATCACTACTACAAGATTATTATAGATAGCTATTTTTTCCATGTGCTGTCAGTATAACTCACTTTATTTACCGCATTAATTTAGGTAAATGTGTTTCTAAGTTTCACAAATTCCAAAATTAATATATTTTTCAAAACATTCATATTTTTGGTTCAAATGTAGAAGAAATATACAATTATAATATAAATTATTTATTTTGTTAATATTCATTTGAAGATTTATGATTTTCAGCTTTGTTGTAATAAAAAATTTTTTACCATTGTTTTGAATTATATTCCCAATTTTGCATTCTTTTGCTGTAGTGGTATATGTAAAATTTAAGTTTTCTCTGAATTTTTGTAAGTTTAACTATTTTTAATGCATAATTATTCATATTTATTAAAGCTGCATTAACCCTCCGCATACGGGGCCCTCGATTTCCACTGGATATGAAATCTATCTCATAATATAGGTTGTGTGAAAATAGCATGTGTAAGTTTATTGCTCTTATTTTCAATATGGATTCCACTTTTTCTCTGTGTAGAAGAATATTGTAACAT